AACTCTCCCAGATTGTAGCGGCTGACGCAAGCAACTACGGGATAGGGGTCGTATTGCCGCATAGGTTTCCTGATAAGACCTACGCTTTTTTCGTATTCCGCGCTATCATCCCACTCCGTGATCGGATGCTTGCTGCGCTCGAATTCATACCGCGCTCAATTGCGACGTCACCCCGAGAAAGCCGTCTACCATGCCTGTCGCTCGTTGACGAAGGCGGAGAAAAATTATTCACAAATCGAAAAGGAAGCGTTGGCGCTGATCTTCGCCTGCAAGAAGTTCCATAAGTATATTTATGGACGACGTTTTCTGTTACTTACGGATCATCGACCACTGCTGGCGATTTTCGGTAGCAAGACAGGCATCCCTGTTTACTCCGCGAACAGACTGCAAAGGGGGCGACCATGCTCATAGGCCACGATTTCACTATCGAGTACCGTGACGGTACTCGATTGACGGTACTACCGTCAAACCACCAAGCTTGGACAAGCTGATGGACTTTCCCGGTTGATCGCAGAGCAGCAGAGTGACAAGGTGTCCGAAGATATCGTCATCGGAGCAATCGAGGCCGATGTCATGGTGATGCTTACCGATTGCTTCCAGGCGATGCCTATTACTCATAAGCAAACTCAGCAACTCTCTTGCACAGATGACTTGCTCAAGAAAATCCTCGACTACGTACAAGGCGGGTGGCCGATGAAAGTCGAGCGCGATAGTGCCCTCTTGCCGTACTACAACAGGAGAGGTTCTATGTCTCTTGTGCGGGGTTGCTTGCTGGTCAACGAACGCGTCGTAGTTCGTAGTTCCGAGTTCCCTTCGGGGGAAAGTCTTGAAAGCGCTGCTTGCCGCACACCCGGGAGTCTCGAGGATGAAGCGCCTCGGTCGGAGTTACGTGTACTGGCCGAGGATCGATGCGGACATCGAGAACTTGGTCAAGGCTTGCCCGGCATGTTTAGAATTCAACAAAGATCCGGAAAGAGCCATACCATATCCTTGGGACCGCATACACGCTGATTTTGCCGGCCCCCTGGAAGGGTTAATGTACCTTGTGTTAGTCGATGCGTATTCAAACTGGCCGGAGATCTTTGAGCTAGCGACCGCGTCTACGACGACTACCGTGGATGTATTGAACAAGCTGTTCGCGCAGTTCGGAGACCCGCGCACGCTTGTTACGGATAACGGGTCTCAATTCACTTCGGGGGACTCCGAAGTTTTTTGCGAAAAGCGTGGTATCCTCCACATGACTTCTCCTGTGGGACATCCTCAGTCGTATGGACGCGCAGAGAAATGCGCGGACATTTTTAAACGGAGTTTCAAAAAAGTTCGACGGGAGGAGGGGCGGCTGCCATCACTCTGTCGTATGCTGCAAACGTACCGAAGCACTCCGCTACCCTGTGGCCGAACTCCCGCGGAGCTCTTCTTGAACCGAGACATTCGAACAGAGTTGGCCCACCTCAAGCCGCCACCCGATGCACCGTCCACGGAGACGCGAACTTCCGAATCGTCTCGCGGAAAACGTAATCGGTTGAGAGTTTTCAAACCACGCGATCCAGTCATGGCTGAAGATTTCCGGCTCAAGGGTAAGCCTGGTCGGTTCCCAGGATACATCGTGCGACGCAAGGGCAATGTGACGTATGACGTTGCCATCGGGGACAAGGTGTGGTCTCGTCATGTCAACCAGTTGCGAGCCCGTGGCGTCCCCAAAACGATATCCGAGGCTTCCCGAACCGAAGAACCCGGTGCCGATACTTCTGGTCTGAGGCCCCGTCTCTTGTTGAGGTTGATGGCTCGGGTGTTGAATATACGACTGGCCTCTAGATTCATTTACGCTCATGACGGTCCCCTCATCTCCCCCCTTAAGTAGGGAAGCGCTCAGTCGTGAGATTGCCCCTTTCTCGGGTCCACCTGGAGTCTCTCGATCGGCTTGATCTGCCGACGCGGTTTCAGGGTCGGCATGATGCTACCAAGGAATCTCTGCGATAGATATGCGAGCGTTCCCGATTCGCCCTCTGAACTAGTGGAACCAGCCG